GGAGAGAGCCCAATCCTGTGCGTTGAACATCTGTCCCCTGTGGCCAGTGTGCGTCATAGGGACCAGTCAACCAGTCATTCGGTCATTCAGTTGTTCAGTCGTTCGGTCATTCAGTCGCTTAGTATATATTACCAGTTTACATTTCATTCCCCTTTAAGATTACCAACATCTTAAGGGCAGTAACTATGTCTTATCAACAATAATAGCCACCATCTATTGGAGGCTTATCTAAATGTGCTTTACAAATATTACCTCACTTAATTATCAAAAGTATTGAGGAGATAGGTACTATTATTATCTTCATTTTACAGATAAGAAAACTGATTCTTAGACAAATCTTTTCATCTCTGTACACTCAGTGCACACCCAAAGCCTAACCTGTCATGAGCATTCAATAAATACTTGTCATATCATTTCCTTCAGCCCAATAGGCAGAGATAGCAGGATAAAGGAAGATAATATCCTTTGTATTCCAAAATATGCAGTCTATCCAAAACATTAGAAAAGCACAGAAGGCCCAGAGCAGCCTGCCTTGTACTTGTGCTTCCAAAGGAGAGCCGGTGAGAGGGTTCGGGTTGTCCCAGACCGTGGGGAAGGTGTTTCTCAGAAGCAGTGACCTCAACAAGGGGGTGTCAGTATCTCCACTCCTAGGAACCTATGCTCTCCCGGGGAATGGAGAGAGCTGAGCAGGGGAGGGGAGCCCAGGACAACTCACACTCCACCCTCCAGGAGCTCCCACCCTTAGAAGACCAAACCCTCTTCATAACACGTTGCAGAAGAGTTCCCTCTAGCTGGCTGGGCTCAGCGGGCATCATTCTTATAGTCAGTGCACGCTGTGCCCTCTGCCTCCCTGAAACCAGTTTACCTGGGGATGGAAGAGATGGGTTCCTATGTCCGAGTGGAAAGCTGAGAAGTGAGGGTGGCAAAGGACTACTGAGAATGAACCCAGATAGCAACCATCAAGCTCACATGCAAATACACATGAGCACACAGACACACTCACAAAGAAACTCTGTCCTTTGCCCCACTGACCCATAATTCTATAGTTAGCTTTTGTCATCTTGTTCCTTCTCTTGTTGATGACAGTTCCCTCATCATTTCAAGACGTTCCATAAATCATGATATAACCAACCTGAGACTCTTCCTCTGAGCTTAAGACAATTTTGACTGAGCAAACCAAAAGGGAAGGCCAGCTATGGTGCCCTGACCTGTCTGCACCAAATAGGAAGCGGATGCTTTCATGGTATATGAATTGTGCTAGACTTTGTATCATGCTATGTATATAATTCTGGCTTAGAGTACAGGCAGAATTGGTACCTCAGCTGAGGATGCTCTGATTAAATTAAGCTAAGGTAAATTTTTTTACGTATTTGGGGCCTGATAGATTCATCCCCAAGAATTTGGAAATAAAGATAGATTTAAATTATAAAATCTACACATAATAGACCAGGAACATCAGGTCACCTGAAAGAAAGAGAATGGCTGTTAGATCACAGCTGGACTTACTTCAGACATGTTTGAAATGTGATAACCTGAAATGAGAAAGAATTGTTCCCTAGGATGGGGCTTGGTCAGCCATCGAAGCATGAAACAATTGGAGGCAGAGAGTCATGCACTGGCAGTGTCCATCCTAGGACCAATCAGCACAAGGAGAATTTTAGGCATTAGGTTTCCATTGTTTTGGGGAAAATGGCAAGGCTCCCCCCGTGTAGAGCAGGTGGGCAGAATGCTTGGATTTAGTTCTCTTTTTTTATTGGTTGAGAGAGAGAGAGAGAGAGAGAGAGAGAGAGAGAGAGAGAGAGAGAGACATCAATGTGAGAGCAAAACATCAATCAGCTGCCTCCTGCACACCCCCTTCTGGGGATCAAGCCCTCAACCCAGGCATGTGCCCTGACTGGGAATCAAACCTGCAACTTTTTGGTGCATGGGACGACAACCAACCAACTGACCACACTTGCCAGGGCTGGATTTAGTTCTTTGATGGCAATGCATAGCACCCAACACCACGGGAAGGAGAAGAGAACTGGTTTGAGAAGGGCTGCCAAAAGGGCCACATGGGCTAGCACCTTGGAGTCAGGTAACAGCAGGCTGGAGCTGTAGGGCCAGTACCTGGGGTGAGCTAGGTTTCCCAGGCTACCTGTGAATTAGCTCATTTGAATAAGTTCACAGGTTCCAAGGCACAAAAGCAGTAACTAGTTGTCTGGTATGTGGCCCTGGAGCAATTCGGGCTGGGGCTGGTGCCTAGTGGCTGGAGTTTGTGAGCTTGAAGGGAATTGGTTGGGATGTTGACTTAATCGGCTCTTAAGGGAAACTCTCTAGTCTCTACCCAGAGTTTCAAAACTGGGTCAAGACACATTTAAAAAATAAATGTAAAACATTATATGACACAAAGTGGTTTTATTTTGCATGCCTACTCAGACCCATCGCCTGGAGCCCAGTGGAAAAGGATTCTGAGTGCAGGCTCAGCAGGGAGCATCCTGAGATGGATGGGTGAGGCAAGGTAGGAGTATGGGCAGCACAACTCCCACAGCTGACCGAGATGCAGAGAGCTGCCGTCTTGGATTCCAGGGCTGCCCTAGAGCAAGAGCCTCCCTACAGTGAAAAAGAGGCATTAGCTGTCTTCACCAGATGACTAGAGCAGGGACTGATCGCAGGCGTCTACTCATTCTTTATGACTGCATCTCGTTCATTTTCTTCATTGCCCTTAAGACCATTTGCAATTATGTATGCACATTCTATACTTATTATTTATATATTTATTGTTTCACTATATATTTGTGTGTTTATTATTCATCTTCTCACTAGAATATTAGCTCCAGTGGGGACTTACTTGATTCACCAGAGTATAGCCCGTGCCTAGTAAAACGGCTCTTTCGGAGTTGGCATTCTAGAATATTTGTTGAACGAGTCGATGAATAAATAAATGAAACAGCCCTACCTGGTTTGGCTCAGTGGATAGAGCATCGTCGGCCTGCTAACTGAAAGGTCCCAAGTTCAATTCTGGTCAAGGGCACATGCCCAGGTTGTGGGTTCGATCCCCAGTGGGGGACTTGCAGGAGGCAGCCAATCTATGATTCTCTCTGATCATGGATGTTTCTATCTCTCTCTCCCTCTTCCTTCCTCTCTGAAATCAATAAAAATATATTTTAAAAAATAAAATAAATGAAACAATAAATGGATGAATGTAACTCTCCTTACTCACCAAGCAATTTATTTTTATTCTGGTGGAGTTCTTTTTAAGGAAAAAAACAATCCCCATTACAGTGTCAGGAGTATGTCTGGTATTTCTCATAAAATTATAGCTTGTATCCAGGGAGTGCCTTATTCGTGTTTAGTTAACATGGCTCGTGCACACAGGGCCAGTCCACCTCTGGGCACAGAGAGGCTCTAGCTAGACTAGAAAAATAGAGGTTGGATTTAGCAGGATCCTCTTCCACCCTTAGGAAAAGGTGCCCCCTCCCACCTCCAGTTTTATTTTCTACTTACAATTTCTACCAAACCATCAGCAATGTCTTTGAAGTTGATACTAACACATGGTTTCTCAGGTTATTAGGTTAAATAAAATCTGCTGGAGCTAGAAAGATTTTTCTGCATCGACTTTCATCCTTGCTGCTTAATTAAATCCCTCACCTGGGAAAAGAGTAATTTTCAGCCATCTTGCGTTCTGTGGCATCAGCATGAAACTGTGACTTTTGAAATACCAAAATGCCAGTTGTGTTTAATGTTTCAGGGGCAATAGCCTGTTCTATTTGGAATCCCCTACAGAGATAGATATTAACTGATGATTGAAAATGACAGCAGAGGAGATTGAATCAGAAGAGCAAAATGAGCACACAAATCTACTTCCCCTCTTTCTACAATTCCTAAAAATGTCAGAAAATATATTTTTTTTAAAGAGTACATCCATACCGGTACTAGGAAACAAGAAATAATGCTATCGGAGGCCCAAAAATGGGAGTTTCCTGGCAGCCTAGGATATAGAATTGAGCTGAAAACAATGAATATGCCAGAGACCAAGGAATGCTCAGGGGGAAAAAAAACAACTTTAAATGTAAGAGCACAAAGAGACACTGAACTCAGCAAGTTTACTGAAGAGCATGAGTTGTCTCTGGTGGCTTGTATCTCCACCCCAACCTGCGTTCATGCCCTTTGTCGTGAGACTTTGCAATTCCTCTTACCACCGAGGTGGTACCTATTACCCTATCCCTTGAGTCTGGAATGGCCTCATGACTTGCTTTGCCCAATAGAAATGACAATGCATAGAGGGAAGTAAAACATACATCCACACGCTCAAACACACATGCAGATGTGAAAATCAAACAAGAAGTGGCAAATCACGACCACATCAACAAAAACATGTAAGTCTTCAGTTAAACTCAAGTAATTCTTGATGAATGACATAGTGTGTATGCGCACGCACACGTCTAGAACAAAATTCCAAATTATGCCAGCATAAAAGGTGGCAGGCCAGGAAAGTAGAGCAAAAGTATAATAGGTTTTAAGAAGGTACTGAGAAAATATAATGACTAATTTTAGATGTCACTACTAAACAAAAGAAAACTCAAAATAGATACACTAGTACCTACTCACATATAAAGGTAAGTGTATGGGAAGGATCTAGGAGGAAACACAGGAAACCATTGACAGTGGTCACCTCTGGCCAATGCAAGGAGATTATAAGGCAGAATATGAAGGTCAACTTGCACCTTGAAACTTATCAACATCCAAATTTTGGAGTTTTTAACGATGCAAATATGATTATTTTTGTATAAAAATAAAGCTAAGAATTATTTTTTAATACAGCTATAAAATTTTACTTGCTTTCAATATGTAACAAAGCTATTTTCATGAGTGGGAAGAACTGGTAAAAGTCATGTTTACTTTGTTCCTGTGTATTTTAGGATCATTTGTATCAATGAAAATGTTGCTTCCAACTTCTAAGTAGCATTTTTTTTTGTTTTATCTGCTTTCTCACCCAACTCATTCACTTTGCATTCTAGACCAGGAGACATGATCACTCTTCTAGAAGACTCCAATGAAGACTGGTGGAAAGTACGTATTTCTCTTTCATTAAAAAAAAAAAAGAATCATTTGGTTACTGTCACTGCAATGAATGCTATAATTACAATGAATTGTGGATACATGTCTCCTTTTCAGGGGAAAATTCAAGACAGGATTGGCTTCTTTCCAGCCAACTTTGTTCAGAGAGTACAACAGAATGAGAAGATTTTCAGATGTGTTAGGACCTTCATTGGGTGTAAGGAACAGGGGCAGATCACACTGAAAGAGAATCAGGTGAGTAATATTGAGTCTGACCAAAATAGAGTAACAGCCATCTACAAATCTGAATGAGCAGGTCATATTCCAAGTCTTCACCTTGAGAAAAGATATACTCACTCCAACCATATGAGTGCAGTAGGATCTCAACATGCAAAACCAAAATGTTAGGAAGCTGACTGGGTGGTGTCTGTCCACAAGAGGAAATGTACGTAACATCATGGCAGCAGGATGAGGACGTCTGGTCCCCATGCTTTTCTCTGAGGATCACTAGTCTCTGATGTGGGCAGCTACTCCAGTTTGGGCTCTGTGCTGGTCTCCATTAATGTGTGGTTCACTTTTCATGGTCTCCTGGGGATATTTGGCTGTTACTTGGGGCTGTGTTGCATAGTTCACTGCATTTGCTTTCAGTCATAAAGACCCCCTCGTAAGTCTCCTTGTGCAGATTCCAAGCCTCTGCCTGCTCCCTGGAAACCATGACACTCCCTAACCAGGGACTGTCTCAGGCCCAGGCCCTGGATATCGCCCTACATCGAATGTAGAGATGAATGTGGGGTTCACTGTGATGACGTCGATTTCCTGAGAAGTGAGGCAGGAAGCAGGAACCCCCTGTACCTGTATGACTTCAGCCTCCTTGCTTCATGCTCCCCCATTTCCTCCTGGAATGTCGACAGAGACAAAGAGACAAGACAGGCACAGCTGAGCCCTCCGTCCAGCAGAGAGAGGCTTTCCTCCTGCCCCCTCTCCTCTGACTGCAACTCCCCTCCTGTCATGTCCTCACTATAGAGCAAAATAGTATGTGCAGGCCTTCATGTTTGCTCTTGATGTATTTGGGGATACTTTCAGAAATTAGACATGAGAAATTTATTTTCTCTCTTAATAAAGTCTCATTGGAATCCAGACCCAGATCCCGCTCATCACTCTCCCAAGGTAAACCCAAAGGGAGAAGTGAAAATGGGGCCTGATGCCATGTTTTGATTATTGGAAAAATAGTGAATCTGAAGGGACTTCGGGGCCTGAAAGTCCTCTCCACCACAGCCCCAGCACTGCCACCACTGCCACCCAGGCCCGTCCGAATCTCAGGACCCCACAGCACCAGGTGGCCCATAGAGGACGATGGGCCAGGAAGGAGTGTGGGAAAACTGGCATAGGAAACAAGGTAGCCTGATGCCTCCCAGAGGGGCCAGAAAGGAGAAGCCTTAAGAGACAATGATAGACCCCCTGGGACATTTCCAATCAGACCGTCTCCCTTTGCAGAACTGAGGGCAGACCTAAGAGAGGGGATCGAAACCTTCAAATACTGTGTCACCATTTTAAATGGTGGTTTTATAAACAGCCAAGGAGTAAGTGAAGTATTAATGATACAAGGGTGGTGAAAAAGTAAGACAAACAAAAGGGAAAAGAGAAAACATTGGAAGGTTTGTTGAAGGGTTTTTCCTTTGCATTTAAATTACTTTCATGGAGTAAAGTTTTAAAAACTAACTTTTAAAAGAAGCAAAGTTAAAAATACTCCATCTTATCTTCTGAATCCAATGATGTAAAAGTACACAGGGTTGCTGTGATTTTTCTGGCCCTCAGTTTTGCACGTGCTCAGGCCACACTGACACACACACACACACACACACACACATACACACACACACTCACACAGCACACCACCACATCCCACCATTACTGCATCTAATTGCAGTAGTTGTTGCTGACAGAAATGCAACATTCCATGGTTGAATGGCAATCTGTGGGGTTGGGTAGGGCATACTTAGACACTAGAGGCCCGATGCACGAAATTCATGCAAGAGTAGGCCTTCCTTCCCCCGGCTGCCAGCCAGCTTCCCTCCTGCACCCGGGACCCAGGCTTTTCTCGCAGCCCCAGCTTGTCCGGAAGGACGTCTGATCTAATTAGCATATTACACTTTTATTATTATAGATGTTTAAGACACAACACAGCTTTCAGCCTGAACCTAGAACCACATAGATCTGCCTGTAATTCTGTAGGAAAGTAACATAACCCCTGATAGGTGCCCAGCCTGGTGTTTCTTAAGGTGTGGTCTTTGGACCACCTGACTCAGAATCACCTGGGAGCTTGCTGAATATGCAGATTCCTGACTCCACCCTAGACCTATTGAAGGAGAACCTTTCAGGGTAAAAAGCAGAGAATCAGTCTCTTTTACAGACTCCCCAAGTGTTCTGATCAAAGTTAATGGTTGAGAATGACCTTTATTTTCATTGCCTCACTTTAAGTCCTATTATAGCTCTGTGAGAACTGAAGGCATTTTTATTTCCAATTACATACTCATCAACAAAAGCCACTGAGGTCTCTTTATCGCTACATAAATTCTCTATTTTCAAAGTTTGTCAGTGTGTCAACCAATTTCAGGGTCAGCCACTTGAAAGAAAATTTACATTTTTAAAAAATATGTTTTTATTGATTTTTAGAGAGAGAGGAAGAGAGAGGAATAAAGAGATAGAAACATCCATGAGAGAGAAACATCATCTTGCACGTCCCCTACTGGGGATGGATCCAGCAGCCCGGATGTGTGCCCTGACTGGCAATGGAACTGCAACCGCTTGGTTCCTGGGTTGACACTCAACCACTGAGCCACACTGGCCGGGCCAAAATTTACATTTTACAAATCTGTTATTGAGAAAAAAACTTAAATTTGTCTGCACTTTAGTATCCTAAATTATTTTAGCTATAAAATTTCAAAGCCTGCTTGTTAATGGAGGTGAGTACAATGTAGTAACAAGAACATGGAATCCAGTGTCACACCAAAATGGATCCATATTCTATGTGGTTTTGGCAGAGTCACCTGTGAATATCAACATTCCCATCTGTACAATGGGTATAGTAGCATCTCCCTCCTGACTTGCAGTGAGGGTTAAATGTTATCACCTGTATAAAGTCCCAGCACAGTGCCTGACCAGGGTGGAAGCTTAGTAAAGTTATTTCCTTTCCTGCCATCATCACTCAGAGTTAAGCCTAAATAGGGAATTCATCTGCAGTGGAAATGTCGCCTAAAATTACCTATTAAGCATCCAAAAATAGCCAGTATGATATTTATAGCCCTAAAAATATAAAGAGACAAAAACTCCTTAGCAGAGATATAGAAGAAATTTGATTCTGAAAATAAATGCATCTCTGATTAAATCATGTTTCTGCCTCTGGGGTAAATTTGTCTCAAAGTCATTATATTATTTTTTCAAAAAGCCTCTGTTTCCAAATCGAATTAAGTTACCCTTTTGTTGTGAACACAACTAGAGTCTGCCATGACATGAGTATGTTTTCTTCATTTTTGAAATTTTAAGAGTATCCTTATTAAACCAACTTTAAGCACCATAAACGTATTTTTAGTTCATTCCACAGCCTGTCATCCCTATAAAACTGTTTTCATTGATTCTTTGTGTTCTATAAAGCTTTATATAAATAAAAATATTTTAGATTATAAAACTAGACTGCATTTATTGTGGAGAAAAACTGGAAAAGTATAAAGAAGAAAATCAAGATCACAAGTAAATCACCCGATCTACTATTATTAACATAAGCACTTTGGTATATTTCCTACCAAACTTTTCTTCTAATTTATATTTTGATATTATATTCTGTTTAGTTCCCAACTAATTTTTTAAACTTAGTCACTAACTGTTTATGCAAACACAGTTGTTGTTTTTTTACAAATTGTATAACAAACATGTCAAATCAGAAGTTGATAAATCCATTGATCAAATCTGGCCTGGCTTTTAAATAAAGTTTATTATGACCAAGTTTATTAAAACATAGCCTCATGCATATATATAATCTGATACTGCTTTCACACTACAATGGTTGAGTTGGGTCATTACAACAGAGACCATATGGCCTGAAAAGCCTAAAATATTTACTATTTGGTCCTTTACAGAAAAAGTTAGTGGACCCCTAATCTAGGTGTACAAGTATCTAAGTATTCTATTGTTGGATGTTTAGAGTTTTTATTTGTTTAACTGCTATTGATAACTACAATAAACATCTTTACACCTAAATCTTTCTCCATACCTCTGACTACTTCCTAAGGATATACTTTAGAGCTTATAGGAAAACGTATAAAAGATTTTTACAATTCTTGATACATTCTACAAAATCGCCTCTAAAAAGGTTGGGCTGATTTATACCCACATCAACTGTTTATGAGAATATTCAGGTCACCACATCCTTGCCAGAATTGAACATTAGTACTTTTTATATCACTTGGTAGATGAATAATATTTCATGTTGATCTGCATTTCCAGGATAGTTAGAGAGGTTGAAATGTTATCACTATGTATTAGGCATTATATTTCTTTTACAGAATAATCGATTTGAGTACTTTACCTATTTTCTTGCACTATTGAAAAAATTTCCTCTCTTTCAAGAATATTTACAACTGGTTTACCACATGTGGCCAGCATTTTCTTATTTATCATTTGGCCTTTAATCTTAACGCTTCTCCCTTCAGAAACTTAGTAATTCTTTGATTGAACCATCTCCATTTTATCATATTTCCCTTCAAGTGTTAATCTCTGTATCGCTTTCTACTTTATCACTCTCCAATTCTTCCTAAGAGAACATTTCAAGAGACCTGCTTCACTTTAATTTTCTGAAGTTTCAATTCAGTCCTTCATTGCTTCTCACACAGATTTTAATTTAGTGATCATTTCCTTATAGTGTTTTCTTCTCAATTAGCCCCCTTTCTTCTGCAACATGTTCTCTTTACATCTCATTACATCATTCTTAACATCAAGAGATTCTTTCCTTAAAACAACGAGGCTAAGTCTTCCTTCAACCTACTCTACCCACTTATTCTTTCAGACATATGCACATATTTTCTGCAATATTTTCTTATGTTTCATAGTAACAGCCTTGATCCATTTATCTTGTGGTAAGCGGAACAACAGCCTCTTGTCCTAATCCTGAAAACTTTGAGCATGTTGCCTTAGCATGGCAAGAAGGACTTGCAGATGTGGTTAACTTTAGGATCTTGAGCTGGGAAATTATCCTGTATTATCTAGATAAGCTCACTGTAACCACAGGAGTCCTTATGAGAGGAGGACAGGAGGGTCAGAGTCAGATAAGTAGGCATGGCGACGGAAGCAGAGGTCAGAGAGAGAAATTGGAAAAAGTTATGCTGCTAGCCTTGAAGATGGAAGAAGGGGCCAGGAGCCAAGGCATATGGGTGGCCTCGAATAGCCGAGGGCAAGGAAACAGATTCTTTCTTACAGCCTCCCAAAGAAATGCAGCCCTATTGACACCTTGATTTTAGGACTTCTGATCTCCAGAACTGCAAGAAAATAAATGTGTTCTATCAAGTCACCAAATTTATTACAGCAGCCATAGGAAACTAATGCAAAGGGGACTTTGCAGGTAGATTAAGGTTATGGACCTGTGATGGGCAATATCTTAGATTGTTTTGGTTGGCCAAATCTAATCATTTGCACCCTTAACAGCAGTGACATGTATCTGACTAGAGTCAGAGATGCCGAAAAAGAGGGCCAAAGAGAGATGAGATCAGAGATTAATTGTAAAGAGGACTCAACCCACCCATACTGGATTCGAAGATGTAGGACTAAGCCACAAGGTAGGGAATACAGGTGGCATTTGAAGTTGACAGTCAGCAAGAAAGCAGGCACCTCAGTCCTGCAACCCCACGGAACTGAATTTGGCAACAACCTAAGTGAGCCTGAAATTGGATTCTCTCCTAGGGAAACAGAAAGGAAAGAGAAGAATAGGGCCCCGTTGACTTCTGGATTTTGGCCTTGTGAAACCCAGAGCAGAGAAAACTAGCCACGCCCACCAGACAGCAGACCTACAGAACTGTGAGATAATAAAGTATGCCGTTTAAAGCCACTAAGTGTGTAGTCATTTGTTACAACCATAGCAAACTAATACACATCTCGGGTTACAAAACCCAAATTGAGTCAAGCTCAGAAGGTATATTTTACTCGTATAATAAGAGATCTGGATTCAGGGAACTTCTTGGATTCCATGGTCAAGCTTCAGATTTTTCTACGTTTATGCTCTGCCACTGTTGCGATATTAGCCACCTCCCCTCGTGGCCATAGATGGCTGCAGCCACTCCCAGCATCCCTTCCAGATGAGGAGAGAGATTTTCTTCCTAATCCATCTCTTTTAAGAGGAAAACACACTTTCCCATCCTGGTTCATTGGCCGGAGCCACTAAGAGAAACACTAGCCAGGAGAGTAGAAGCAGACTTGCACCAATTAGGATTTACCTGAATCATGTTGCAGAGATAAAGACAACAGAACAAAAGTCGGAACTCGGCTGTGTGGGAAAAGAGCAGAAAGTACTGTAGATGTCAACCAACAGCCTCAAGCCATTTACTTCTCCTAGAACAAGGAGTGATCAGTGCAGAGCTGAGCTTTCCCAGTGGAAAAGATGAGTGGATCAGTGTGGGTCCAGCTCAGGGTCCACTCAGGTGTACTCAGGTCGACTCAGTTGGAGGAGCAGGTAATTATGCATGACTCATACTGACTTCCGGCACCTGAGAAGCACTTATCTAATGTTGGTCTGCTAGGTTGAGTTAGGATTTGCTTCTTTCGCCATTGCTTTTTCCCCCCAACATTCTGAACTCCTGGCGTACATAAAAACCACTTTCAGCTTTGTCTGTTACCCCCATAGTCTTTCTGTCTCCATTCCCACCCACTGTGTTTTATTTGTTGGGACCTTAACTCCCAGGAGACACTTGTGCCACCTCTATCTAATTTGCCCTACTTCCTGTCATTTCCTTTTCTAAGAGGTCCATAGCTTCTGATAATGTAGAAAGAAAAGCATTGATTGGGAGGAGTAGAGTTCCTAATAATAGAGAAATGGCTGCCCAGTTTTCAGCTCTGGGCAGCTGCTGAATCTGTGACCCTGAGACTGACCTTGGAGGAGGAGGTCTCTTTTAGGCTGGTAGATTTATCCTTGACACAGCAGCACAACTTGCTTCAGTCATCAACTGAGTTCAGCACCAAAGGTCTTAAAGAAATTCCAATCAGCTTCTGAATGGCCATCAGTCTTGGCATTTAGTGTTATGACCCTTCTTCTCTACCTCCAACCCTGTATCTTTTCATAGGTGTTTTGAGAGGAGGACTCAATCCAAGAGGCCAGGCAAAAAAAAATATTTTTAAATAAAATGATTGCTCATCTATGAGTGGCAATCATTTTAATGTTAATGAGTTTGGAGACATGCAGGGGACAACCTTAAATGGTATTAAGTACATGTGATCCCAGAAGACTTCGGGATTTTAACCAGATAGGGCCAAATGGGGCTGAGCCAATAGAGGCACTTGACCATTATGCAACAGAATTTGAGGCAACAGAGGAGAAGAAGCAGAGGGCCAGGGAGTGAGTCAGCAAGCAGATATCAAGTTGAGATAAGAGTGTGAAAAATCCAGCCCACCCCATTGTCTTTAAGAACTAGGGGGAGTGAGAACAGGTGAGTGGTAGAGCTACAAATGCACCAACTGGAGCAGAAGCATGGTGTTAACGTAGTAATACTATAGACTAAGAGGCCAAAGAGTGAATGCTAAGTGTTGAAGATTAACTATGAAGCTGAATTTGTACCCCAGCAAAGAGTCTAGGCTCTGGGGCATGAGATCAGGGAAGAAATGAGGTAAATCTTTAAGATAGAAAATGATAACTTGTATTTGTTTTATATTAGAAAGGAAAAGTCTCCGAGGGATGCTGCGGGGCTGGCTATAGCTGGGCTTGGTAGTTAGCTAACTGCTGGGCTGGCTGAAGATGGAATACTGAGTATGTGAGGTGCCTCTGCTCTGTATATGCTGTGCCCACCTTGGTGTTGAGATGCCCAGCTTACCACAGCTACACATGATGCAGCAAAGTCAAGTCCACACCATTGTCAACGAGCCAAGTGGACAGGTCAGGATAGGTCAGCAGTGGGAAGGAAACTGGTTCAGTCTTTGGAAGTCTTTGGCTGTAAAGAGGGAGGGGATATGGAGAGAGGAAGGAAGGAAGAGAATGAAAAAGGAGACACAGAAGGATGACAACAGGTAGCAAAAGAAATAGAGGGGAGAGGGAAGGAATGGAAAAAGAACTGCTTTAAATAAATCTGATCCTCTCCTTTCTCCACTTAAAATCCTTTAACACCCAACTGTTGATTGATGCCAACGTTCATTTTTGCCTTTTTCCCATGCTGCAGAGTCCTGATTTTTTGTTTTCTTGTCCATCTGTATCTTCTATGACTCAGGTAAATCCTAACTGAACTGATTGAATGGGTCCTATTCTCCTTCCTGGTGATTATGTTGGTGGTTGTCTTGTGACCCAGGTCCAGTCAGTGAGATTGGTCAGAAGGTCAGCTAAGGGACTTAGCAGGCTTAGCATGGCTGCATGTCCCCACATGCCTGGCCCCGGCAGCCTCTCTGGCTTTATCTCACACCATTCGCCACCTCCATCTCTGGCTGCATTGTTCTAGCTAGTCATTCCAAGGTGCCACAAAGTTACCCGCTAGGTTAGATCAGATTGCCATGTATTTTCACATCAGCACCTTTTTCTTTACTCATTAATCATTCAAAAATATTAGTTACTTAAGCTGTCAGTCAAGTTTTACGAAGTGTTGTTCACTGGATGATCAGTGACTAACACAGGCATGGTCCTTGCACTCAACATGCACAGAATTACTCAATGAAATGTCTTTCTTCCCAGTTCTGCTCAATAAACAATATGAGAGCAGGAGTCTGTCTTCACTAATTTCCAAGCTTCTGGAATGGTATCTAGCACATAGTAGGTTCCCAATAAAAATTTGTTGATTGAATGCAGAAAGCAGGGAATAAGACAGGTTCCTTAGACAATTGAGGGATCTCTGACGTGGCCTAATGAGTTAAATATTTGCTAGGATAATAAGCCATCCAGCTTGTCTGGGACCGAGGCATTTTCCAGGATATGGGACGTCCAGTGCTAAAATTGAGAAAGTCCCGGGCAAACCAAAACAAGTTTGTCACCCTATTTGTGACCCTTCAACCCAAAGGAGCTCCTCTGGTTCTCCCTCAGCTCCCACCCCTTTCTACTCACAATGAATCTTCTGAGCTGGTCTTTCCATTCCACCTCTAAATGAAAGGAAAGTTCCCAGCTCTGCCACTGCTTCCTAAAATGGTAGATTCTCAAGCTTTTCTTGATCCTCATTCATCAAGCTGAATCTCAGAAAGTATTCAATCCCTGGACTAGTTCCAAACCCAGGGTTCTGCCTAATTTTAAAAAAAAAAATTATTGTTTTGAGAGAGAGAGAGAGAGAGAGAGAGAGAGAGGCAGAACAAGAGAGAGGAAAAAAAAATTAGAGAAAAACATCTATTGTTGTTCCACCTATTTATGCATTCATTGGTTGATTCTTAGATATGCCCTGACCAGGGATCCGAACCTGCAACCTTGGCGTATCAGAACAATACTCTACCAAACTGAGCTGCCTGGCCAGGGCTGCCTAATGATTAATCAAACCTTTTCTCACAGAGCCACAACTTCCCACCCTCACACTGCTCTCTCTTTTCCAATTCAATGCCCCGCTGACCTCCGTCAGCAGTGATTCCGGTGTAGGTTCTAGCTTCTTTCTTGTTGACACTTGTTTTCTCTTTCCTTGGCACTCAGATCTGCCTGACTTCTGAAGAAGAACAGGACGGCTTCATCAGAGTCCTCAGTGGAAAGAAGAGAGGCCTTGTCCCCCTGGATGTCCTAGAAAATGTCTGATTGCGGGCCCCTCCTCCTTTTGCGGTAGGCAAGCCCTGCTGCGATGCCTCATCTCACACTGTGTCAACCCAGAGGAGCTGTCGCAATGGCCCGGCCACCCAGGAAACAGGGAGACCAGACTCAAGGATCTGAGACTGTGGAGTATCAGCCACAAGACAGAGTGTCCATTGCGCAGCATATCCTGGCTGCCCAAGGTGGGGATGAGGCCGAGAGAGCCACTGGCAAAGCTGAGGTCCCTACCTGGTGGCAGTAGCAGGACAGCAACCACAGCTGTTCCCCAGGACCCAACTCCCTCCCTGCCCATGTGGTGTAAGTTAACCCACTGAAGTGTACTCCAGTTTGCAGTGTGGCCCCAGTGTGAGGTTCAGGTCCATGTAGTCAAGTGTGATTTGGATTCCAGACCTTTGTCCTCAATACCAACCAATGAGCACCATCACATTTGAGACCCCAAGCAGTCCCTCTGCAGAGCACCAGGAAGTCCCACTTCCTAGCTCCCAACATTCCAGGGTTCCCCAGGACCCCTCACTTTGTGGTTGTGCTGTCTCTTCTGGGTCCTAGAGGTGTGCATTACATGTGAGAGCCAAGTTGATGTGTCACCAACTACAAAGACCTGACCTGCTCAAAGATGGCTGACAGGCAGTCTCCCCTGCTGCTCTAGGGACCGACAGGTGACAGCAGGACAGGAGGCCTGAACTCAAAGGGCAAAGTAGGGATAGAGTAGGGAAAGGGGCCCTTATTTATTGAAGATTATACAGCCCTTTCCATAATGAAGTCCTTTCCCCAAGGAGATGGAGCTGGGGAAGAGAATGTGGCAGAAAGCTTTCTCCATGCAGAGCTTCACTTTCATTGTATGTCTTCTGTGTTAGGGGAACATTTCCCATCATGCCATTTTGTGGGACTCCCGCTTGGAGGGCTGAGTCCACCTTGCAAAGGACCAGAAACATGGAAGGGATCCAATAGCATCTTAGGAGAAAATTAGACAAGTTGGAATCCATTCTTCTTTAGGGCAGTATATTCTACCCTAGCAGAGGGCAAATGGAAAAGAATCCTGAGTCCTTCAGCCTCTGAACGCAGAGGAAGGTGGGGCCTATTTAGCATCAACTAGGGGAGTCTCTGTTACTCTGTACTTGTACTAATGTTTACAAGAATGCAATATACTGTGATGCCTTCCTCCTCATTCCAACGTGCATCCCATTCCTCTTTAATATGGTTAAGCTTCACAATGACCTTGGAATCAATGTCAGTTTGATGTATTTTGGTGCAGAGCAATAAAGCATTAGAACAATTGGTTTTAAAAAGACTTAAGTGGCTGCATCCTGTGCATGTAAGCATCATTGGGAAACCAAAGCTTCATCCGTCTCCATGTACTTCTTTCGTTACTGCTCAGCATGAAGTTGGGAGAGGAAATTGGGTGGCTGCTGGTTTCACAGTACTTTGGATGCCTTACTCTTGTTTTCAAGCCAGCCCCCCTCTCTGATACAACATGTAAAACCGAGTGTATAGAGTTGGGCGGGTTCTTTGAGAGCCAGGGTGGATAATATGACTGCCGTTCTGTAACATAGAATGCCAGGTACCAACGCTCTTTGCCTCTAATTCAATATTCCATTTAATAAAAACAAACACGTTGGCTGGAAGGAGCATAGAAAACATGTGTCCTGATCTCTTCTTTCTGGTAGAATATCCACTGAAGCCCTTTGGTAAGGGGGTGTCACATCCTATGCAAATTTGCATTTAAAAGTCAGTTTGGCCCGGCCAGCATGGCTCAGTGGTTGAGCATTGACCTATAATCCAGGAGGTCACGATTCGATTTCCAGTCGGGGCATATGCCTGGATTTCAGGCTCCATCCGCAGTGTGGAGCATGCAGGAGGCAGTCAAGCAATGATTCTCTCTCATCATTGATGTTTCTCTCTCCCTCTCCCTCTTCCTTCCTCTTTGAAGTCAATAAAAAATATATTTAAAATAAAATAAAATGAAAAGTCAGTTTGTCCTTTGAAGAGGAGGCTGTGATAGGCAGCCTCTAAAGTGGTCCCCCGATGAACAATCCCTGCTTCCCAACAGTGTTGCCTCTGTGTAGCCCACGGCCACACTGAGTCAGGGCTGGTCTTACGAGACCAACAGAACACAGCGGAGGTGATATTGCAGGGCATGTGGGGCTGGGTCCAAGAGTCCTTGCAGCTTCTGCCTCGACCTTGTGGAAAATTCACCTGGGGGATCCTGAGCCACCATGTATGTTTGTCTACTCTGAGGCCACCATGCAGGTGGGGCCAGTGGAGAGACCACACGCTTCTGCAGTAGGTCACTCAATCCATTTTTGAGTGACTTTTTTAAATACAAAAATACATAACTGGAACAGGGACTTTGTAATTTGAGCCAATGCTAGAAAGAAGACATACTTTCAGCAAAATGAGGCCCAAAAGTTTTTGCAAACATCAAGATATCTCCAAATGCAAGATATCTACGTAGTGTGCCTTAGAGGTCTGGTCACCCAGATATTAGAGAAAAAGGCAGTGTTCCTCACAGCACAGACTGCCACAGATGCTTACAGAGAGAGAGAGAGAGAGAGAGAGAGAGAGAGAGAGAGAGAGAGAGAGAGAGAGAGAGAGAGAGATTGACTTTAGGAGCCACAGCATTTTTTCTCCTGCCTGTCTGCAGAAATAGCTAGAACAAGGATAGCTGTGACCCAGCAAAGTCTTGAAGATTTCCAAACCCCAAGAAGAGACTGGAAGAAGGGCCACAGTCGCAGAAGGAGATGAAATGAGGGCCTCAGGACTCCGACTCTAGGGAGGGGTCAGGGAAGGAGAGGAAATGCTAAAATGAAGAAGAACAAAGGTCCTGGGGAGTATTCTTCAGAGTGTGAGGGAACAGGCTGGTACCTCCTCACCTCCTGGCCTTTCCTCCAGCTGAGGGGTGGTGCATATGTACCTCACCCAGCGGAGCCGTGCCCCACACTTCCCCACCAATGCTGGAGGATGTGCATTCAATCATGCTGGGTTTGAAATAAGGAACTGGTCAAACCTTCCTCAGGCTTCCAGAAGGTGAAGAATTGAACTTCTTTTACCCCCATCACTAGCAGCCTGAGGCTTCCTTAGTGTGGGCAGTGGGGCTGCAAAGAGAACCCATGGATAGGTGACTGGCTAGCTACCAGTAGGGCTGATTGCACAGAGCACTGTAACTGCCTAACTCTCCACACCAAATTCATTCTTGCTCTCTCTCTCTCTCTCTCTCTCTCTCTCTCTCTCTCTCTCCCCCCCCCACCCTTCCCTCTCTCCCATCAAGAGAAAGAATCCAGTATCTGGGCTACACATTTAAATCAGCTAGTGGGGTGGTACATAGTAGGAGCTTATTAGAGTTAATGCACTTGGCTATTAAAGAGAAATAAAATCCATGAAAAGATCACAACACATGTAAATAGCCTTGTGCCAAATCCTGCTAAAAGTAAAATTAAAAATAAAAATAAAAGAAACACCATGAAAGTCCAAAAATGGGTCTAGGTCATGGCTGCTTCACGGAGAAGAGAGCCAGGAAGGAAACCTATTGGTCAGCCCTGGCCTAGAGCGAGGCCCCGGCAGCTGTGACAAAGTACCGTATGCTCACATAGAAGCTTCAGTTTACATCAAGTGAACCAGACTTCTTCACTCAGGACTTCCCAGAGCCTTCAATTTGCTAATTTTCATGGAGAGTCAATAAAGGGGGATTTAGAACCATGGAACACCTAATGACACCAGTCATAACATTCCAAGGAATATAGTTTGGCAACTGCTGCAGTAGAGAATTGTCACATAATATTGTATCCGCCTAATAGCGCCAATGCTTTCTGATACTCCCTCTCTTCCTACATCTCACTAAGATACCTGCAAAATGTTGAAAAGGACAGAAGTGTACCATCGTAGTACAAATGAAGGCTAACGGACAATCCACCCTGGAATCTGAGTGTGTAAGGAGCAGGAGAAAGTGGGATCTTTTTTCTCAAGGGGTGGAAAACACAGGAGGACCAGTAGCTGTATCTGACTTTGATCATTTTAGCAAGTACTGACCCACAGGACACAGGCTGATATAAATCTAGGAATAAAAGAAAAGTCCGCATTGCTCAAAATAGAATCCTCAGGAAACGGAGTGAGCAGGTGTAGTCCACGGATTTATCCTAAAACAAGACCCTTACAAACAAAGCAGACGATAAAAAATAAAACTAGCTCAATGACAGCCTGTAAAGGTCACTTGGATTCTGCTCAGTCGCCATTCGGTTGTGTGTTTTGTACAACACCTGGTGTTTGTGACCCTTAGAACATGTTTTGTTTTTCTCAGCTTTCTTACTAAGAGCTGTAAATAGTCCTCAATCTTTCTGTGGGTAGTAGAAGCTTTTAACTATACCTTGAAATTTTACAAGATAACAGCAATTTACTTGATAGTTTCTTTCTATAAATTTAAAAGAGAAATTTTTTTATCACCACATCGTCAATTTTTTTTAAACTATTGAGCATCTTCCATGCCCTCATGGAAGTGAGGATGCGCTGAAGACCTGAAAGACACCTGGAAAAGTAGAATGCTTATGTCCAAGGAAAACGGGAGATCGTCTTTAGAATTCCTCCTCCGGCCCCCTTTACTCGGATGCTCAGCTTGCTTGCCTGACCCCATCTTGTTCTACGCCCGGCAATATTTTTCTTTGTCCATCTTCTCCTTGCAAACCAGCTGTTGAAGATTAGGCGCTGAGTTCATTTACCATTTACTTTCACTCTTCGTTAAGGTAAAGATGTCATCCAAGGTTATGACTTTTCCTCTGAGTTCAGCTTTGGCCATATTAAAGTGTTCACATTTTCATTTATTTATAATTACTCTGTAATTACAGTTTTGATTTTTCTCTTAGGCATTTTATTTCGTGTGTGGGTGTGTGTGGGTGTGTGTGATTACAATCATTATGTGCTGTGGTCAGAAATTATGTTTCATATTGGTTTCTGCTTTGAGGAATTAATTACCATTTTTTATTTTGTGTTCTAATATATGAGTAATCTTTATAAATGTTCAATGGATGCTGCTAGAAAAGTCACGTCTGCAGTGTATACAGTTCAATATGTATTTACTAAATAAATGCTTAAAGTATGCAGGTCACCTATGTTCTCACTTATTTTTGCTCATGTTCTCGCTCTAAAATAAGGAAGTCAAGACCAGACAACAGTGGAGCTGAAATGAAAGACACTTTTCGAGGACCTCCAATCGCTTCTTTAATTTAGTTCCAGCTCTTAGAGCACAGTTCTCAACCTGTGGGTCGCGACCCCTTTGGGGGTCGAACGACCCTTTCACAGGGGTCGCCTAAGACCATCGGAAAACACATATATAATTACATATTGTTTTTGTGATTAATCACTATGCTTTAATTATGTTCAATTTGTAACAATGAAATTGGGGGTCACCACAACATGAGGAACTGTATTGAAGGGTTGCGGCATTAGGAAGGTTGAGAACCACTGTCTTAGAGGAAGGAAATGCCAGCTAGTGCTCTACACCACAGCGTCCCCTTCCACATTTAGGACTAATCACTAAGGACATTTCCTAAATAAACATTAAACATTATCTTTAGTTCCCTGGAGAAAACTCTAAAGAAACCACTTCTTAAGACAAGAGAATCCAAAAGTATTATCGGGAAACTTCCATACTGGATCAAGGAGCTTTGATAGAGAAGCTACAGGTTGAAATCAGGGATCACTGTTACAAGAGGACTACATTACAGCTCCAGTGTCTACTATCAAAGTAGTAAGAGAGAAAAATCACACAATGAATTGATAAAATGTATTCACACCTAAGAGTCTAAATCTGGACATGATGAATCACAAGCTGCTGGTTCCCACTTTCCTTTGGTCATCATGATGGTTATTATGTTTGCAGTGAAATTAACGAGTATGTGTGCTACTCACTGGGACAGATGAACCAAACCAGTAATACTGAAAATGTATGATTAGTGCTACAATATAGAAAGAACGGTGAACCACAAGAATTAGAACTAGATTGGTCTCATTAGGAACAAGGTCTACAAAAGGTCTTAAATCTCTCATGCCAAAAGTATTCTCACTTTCCAAAAAGGCAATATTAGGCTGGAAATGATAAGGAAGCTTTTCAGCTCTCGTAATTTCCCTAACACTCTTAGCACTTTAGTTTCACTAGAATTTTTGGGTGATGAGGGAGGATGTTTTGTGGAGATGATGTGGAGTTAGATTTTGTGGAGGTAAGGCAATTCTTTTTATTTCTTTAGTATAGATGTTTCCAACAGTATGCTCCCTTCGTGCTGTATTGCTGAATATTTGAGCAAC